GCATCAATTTTATCAATTATGATATTATATAATATTATAAATAAAAAAAAAAAATCTAATTTACCCCCAAATATATATATATATATATAAAATATAAAAATTATTTTGATAACATAAATAATATTATAAATAAAAAAAAATAAATAATTTACCCAAAGGTCATCAAGAGTGATGGAGTTGTCCGTGTAGAAAACGAGAAGGTCGGCTTTTAACGGCGATGATTCTCGCAACTTGGAGGCAAGGAGTAAGCAGGCAGTTCCTAACAGCTGCAGCTGTGACTTCCTGATCGGGCAGACCGAAAGGAACCTGTCGACGTAGTTCATCGATAGGGGGAATACCTCCTCTTGGCACTTTTGCTCCTCGCATACCTGTAAACCCATCCAACAATTATTATTATTATCCAATAATTATTATTTTACATACGAGTTACAAACTTTACATTTTCACGTTTAATTTCAATTTCATTTCTTTGCGTTTTTCAAATACTTGACTTCTGTTTTTCTTTTTTTCTTTCCTTTCTTTATTACATTACATTTATCAAAAAATTATTTTTAACCTTTTAGGTATTGAAAGTACGAAAATAATAAAGAAAATAATAAGAATGAATGAAAAATATTTGCGAAATTTCGTAATAACTTGCGAAGGTCACTTTTGGATGGTTCCTATGGTGTCGTTGACCTCGACAACGTGTTATCTTCGATCTCCTAAATTTTCTTATTTTAAAACTTGAAATTGACGATAAATTATACTCGTGTATATTAAAATGTATACGAGATGAAAGTTTCTAATTGATTTTTAGTCAAATTAATCATTTTATTTCGAGACTACGTGTATCATTTATTTTTTGGTTTTACTATTATAAAATTGAAACGAATTTAAAAAACGTTACGGATAATTGTTTGTGAAATATTGTGAAATATTATTTACGAATTTTGATGTCATCTTGTATAGGAGGAATAAGCAAAACACGTTTGGAAAAATTTTGGTTGATGCACCAATTGATTTAAAAGGTTAAAATGCATAACGTTCCGCTACGTTTGACCTTTTTTACACTTCAAGATTAACTTTATCGTTCTGTCGTTCAGTCAACTCGAAATTATTGTTCGTGTTTCTAAAGTAAAGCTAATGTAACACCCTTTAAATATCCCGCAATACGAATTATTAAGGACACCGTGTATATTATATTTTAAAACAACCGCACATTTACAATTTAATTTCTTTGTTTTTTAATATTTTATAATTATTAATTCATTTATTTTATTTGTATATTTACATTGAAAATGACGTTTAATATTTAATAATACTATTAATAGTAATACACATACATACACGTACACAAATATCAAGAAAATTACGTATAACGTAAAAGAGTAGTATCGTAGTAGCTGACGAGCTTATTTTTTTCTTCTTTTTTTTTTTTTTAAGGTGAAATTATGACACGACTGCTATATTTAAAGAACCCGAGCCACGATACGTGGGAAGAAGAAGAAAAAGAAAAAGAAGAAGAAGCACGCGCGCTATAATCGTGGAAAGTAATCTAACAGAAAGACAGTATTATATTCGTGTGAATAAATATCTCGTGCGTGGTTATTTATAATTTGATTTTTTAAATACAAAAAGAAACAAAAAAAAATGTTCTCTACGAAAAATCGCATAATCGGTGCACAGAAAAAAAAAAAAGTATATTTCGATGATTGTTTTTTAACAAAACAATTATTACTTATTTCTATTTAGAATTTAATTAAATAAACTAGCGATTGAAAAATGTTTCCAATTCAAGAAGATAATTTTATATAATCTGAGATACTAATGTAATAATTAATTTTGAAAATAACTTTAAAAGAGTATCTTTGGATCAGCCAACAAACTTTTTTTTGGGTTCTACTTTGTAATTCGTGTGATTTTATTACAAAACAATTATTACGAAATTATTTAGAAACTAAAGATTTAAAAAAAGTTTCCAATTCAACTAAATAATTTTATAATCTACAAATATAATAATTAATTTTAAAAATAACTTTAAAAAAGTATTTTTGGATCAGCCAACAAACTTTTGTTGAATTCTACTTTGTAATTCGTGTGATTTTATTACAAAACAATTATTACGAAATTATTTAAAAACTAACGATTTAAAAATGTTTCCAAATCAAGAAGATAATTTTATAAAATCTGAGATACTAATGTAATAATTAATTTTGAAAATAACTTTAAAAGAATATTTTTGGATCAGCCAACAAACTTTTTTTAGGTTCTATTTTGTAATTCGTGTGATTTTATTACAAAACAATTATTACGAAATTATTTAAAAACTAAAGATTTAAAA